TATAAATTATTTTTTAAATAAGATTATTTTTAAATTTGGTTTATTTCCGTTATAAATTTTGCCCATACTCAAGAGTCCACATGTAACCAGCCTTGGGATCTCTGCTCTTCGCTGCCTCTTTCTCAATATTTTCAGTCTTTTTAAGAACTTGCTGTAAACTTCCATATAATTTTGGATTTTCCAACATAGGCCTTTCAGCAAGATTTGCAGAGCGCTTTGCAAAGGACCCCCGTTTTCCGAATCTTTCGCGCACGAATTTTTCATATAAATCAACCCCCTCTTCGTCGTAATCAGGGTTTTGTTTTTCCTCTTCTCTGGATTCATCTTTTTCTCTGGGATGCCCGTAGAAACTTGGTTGATAGTTGTCGTCGTCTTCTTTATCGGGCTTTCTGTACTGATTCCTCTCTTTTGTGTGTCCATAGTAATTTAGTGGAGGTTGGCGAATGTCAGGACTATCATGTTCGTCGTCAGAATCATAAACATAGGATAATACATCTTCTGGCAATTTTATTTCAGGTAACTTTAGTGGTGTTTCATCGAACTTTATGTTCAATTTATCATCATACTTTTCAGGTGTTGTTATTTCCAGCACGCCATCATTTGGTAAATCGGATGGACTATCATCAGTTCCAACCACGGGAGCACTAGGTGGAAGCTCTGTAACAGTTTCTGGTATGATAGGTTCCGTGTCAATGTTTTCTTTAGATTGTTCCTTTACGTTCTGCTGGTCGTTGTGTTGGTAATTAGACGGTACCCTTTCGAATTGCTGTTTTAAATGAACGTTATCTGTTTCTACACTTTCTTCAAGAATCTTTCCTCCTTGCTCAATCGACTCTTGTACTCCAAGAATAGATTCCAAACTTTGGTTTTCATCCGAATTCGTTATTTGTTTGCCGTTTTCTTCTTTTGAATTATCTTTATCACCGTGCAGTTCTACGACAGGTCTAATTTCCCCATCATTTAAAATGATTGGATTGTTAGGTGATCGGCTTAAATTATCGGTAATACGAGATCTTAAAGGCGTCCCTGTTTCTTTGACGTCCGGTTTGAAAGTAGTTAGTGGCGTTATTTGTGCTTTAGTATCAACGTCATAATCACTATAAATCTCCTTAACCGGTTCAACAACACCTTTGTCATTTACTTTAATTTTTTCATAGCTGAAATCACCTAAATCAACGTCTTGTATTTTTGAAGGGAAAGTTTTGTTTGACGTTACGGTAGGCGCGCTGTATTTCTCACCATAACTATTTTTCTTGTTTCTCTTTGTCATTATTATGATTGCTTCTTCATCACTTTCGTCATCGTTCTTAACAAGCGGCCTTTTAGGTTTGTTGTCATTCTCGATATAAATGTTTTCGCGATTTATCGTAGGTACATCCTGGTACAATGGCTGAGCATTATCCTTGTACTCTTCATTTTCTCGGCTATCCACATCACCATTTTGAGATTTTGTGTTAGCAGAATTCAGAGCATTATTGTAGTTCTTTTCTCCGCTTTCTTGACTTTCAGGAGCATGTCTTGAGTACGATTTATCATTTTCACGACTTTCATTACTGTCTTTTGATGGCAATGAGTATTTATTTCCATCTTTATTCTTAGGAGGAAAATCTTTTTCAACACTGCTGTATATAGGTTTATTATTACGAGGATAATCATTGTCGTAACTGCCATAATTTTCTTGACTTCTGTGAGGAAATCCCTTCTCCCTATAGTTAGATTTTTGATCATTCTCGTTATTATCTGAATTTTTTCTAGTGACATATTCACGACTATCGATGTTTTGATTTGAGCTTGGTTTTTCTCGATAATCACTTCTTTCTCCGCTATTGTAGTCCTCTCGACTTCGTGGTATATCACTATATCTGTAATCTGCTCGCTCTCCACTTTCTCGATAGGGACCACTGTTCCTCTGATTATTTTCTGTGCTTTCATCACTGCGTCTCTCTTCTTGGGGCGTGTAACGATTTTTTTCGCTACTGTTATCGTTTTCACTAGAATCACTCCTCTTTCTATCATCATTTTCAGTACTACGGTCTTGGTTTTGGTACGAGGCTTTTTCTTTTTCTCTATAATTAGATTTTTCACGACTTTCGTTACTGTTTCCTTGTACGTTTTTTTCTCTGCTATCTTGGTTATATTGTGGATTTCTTTCTTTCTTATAATTACTAGTTTCACCACTGTCGTTACTTTCTTTGTATGGTCTTCTTCTAACTTCTCTGTAATTATCACGGTCATTATGTTCCCTGTCCTTCTCTGTGGGTTTAGGAGGATAATTTAGTTGATTATATTTTTTTCGGAAATGATCTTTTACTTTCTCACTATTTGGTGTCGGGTTACTTTCATGTAAAGTTTCAATATTAAAATCAGCGAGTTGAGCATTTTGAATAATGCCGGAGTTTCTTAAATCAAGAGGTTCTCTATGTCGAGGATGGTGGGTAGTTTTGTAACTGACAATTAAAGGAGCGCTTGCAGCGTATCTAACATGGTCACCGTAATTATCGGTGGACCGTTTCTTCCTATGTATACTGTTTTTAGGATGACCTTTTAATTTAAATGAAAGATCATCATTCTTCTTGTAGACATAGTTCAAAACAGTGTCATTGCCACGGGTTATATTTGGTTTGTTTTTAATACAGTTTTCGTTTGCATCGGTGCAGTTTAAATTTACTAGCTGAATGTCTTTAGCAATACTTCCGTTACTTTCTATCATTTCTTCTTTTGTTTCAAGTTTAGATTGTTCAATGAGTTTCGTATCTTCTACTGTACTGTTAAAATTATCTTGAACCTCCTTTAAAGTTTCGTTTGCTTTATTAGACTCCGTACTCACAGTATTAACTGGTTTTTCATTGTCAGTATCATTTTTAATGGAAATGTACGCCTCAGTAATCTGGAAAAGATTAAATAATAATTTATTGTTACTTATAAGAAAGATGTACCACTCATCAAATAAAGACATTTCTACTTACGGTCGTGCAAATTACATATATTTCTTATGAACTACTGTAGTTACAGGACAAGAAATAAAACAAAATGATGTTTCTAATTCAATGTACTTCTATTTACAAAATACTACAATACAATAAATTCATGCGTATTTAACGAATTACAAAAGACTACACTACAAAAATATTTACGATGACAATGAAATAAATAAAAATAAACAAGTGCTGTGAGATGTGAAGCCTAACAATTAAATTTTGACCCAGACCTTTATCTTTAAATTTCGCAAAATAAAGAGGATCAAAATCTAACTTACAACATACCGTTCATCAGGTGCAGTAATAAACTGAATACTCTATCTAAGTATAGCATGTAACGAGAGGGTGCAAAATTTCCTTTAGTATAATATGAAAGTGTCCAGTATAACAATTTTAGCTAGAAATAAAGTTTTCTTATACTTTTTACAAATTTGTCGTCACTGGAACACAAAACAAACAAGTATTGAAGTTGTTTTTTTTTTGTCAAATATAAATTTTATTTTTGGCTAAAGTTCTATGATGTCGTGGACACTTTAATATTAAAAAATAAGTTGCACCCTTTTGCACCCGATTTAATTGACGATTCTCAGTTTTTTTTTTATTTCATCGTTTTATTTTGTATACCATTATTTGTATATACCATTGGCCATAACACTGAAAACTAGGCAGTTTGGTTTTTGACTCAAAACCTCTCCTTTTGAAGGAAAAGAATAAATAAATAAACAACAGTCCACAAACCCATAGAGGAAGGAAACATAGTCTAAGCACAAACCGTAGATGGATAATCGTGACAATTTGCCATAAAACATTTCGTACTGAAGATTTGGCTTTACTTTAAATGAAATCAATGAAGGAAAATTAAAATCTGAGATCAGGCTTAGCCTGAAAAATTTTACTACTACTTCCTACGTAGACGGTTAAGTCTACGCCACAATAAGTATATTTATAAAGTCTGACAAGTAGCCATACTGGACACGAATTATTTTATAGGTTAAGTACAACATTACGTTAATTATTTGTTACCTTTTTAAACTGATGGCTCTATAGCCAATGCTGAATAAACAATTCAATTCAAATTAGACATAGGTCATTATTATATCAGTGGGTGGCAAATGATTGGTTAATTTAGTGATACAATTATTATATTAATTTTAAATAATTGAAATAAAAAAAAACTGAAATGCGCACATTATTTGAAAGTTGCCAAACCTCTATATGAAAATACTTGTTTTGGACATAGGGTACTAGCTACATACATGTTCAAATGAGTATTTCGAAAAAAAGTAAATAACACCTAAATTCGATTAATTAAACTACACCATATGTATGTATATATATATATATATATATATATATATATATATATATATAGCATGTAGCGGTTACCCTTTAAAGTCTACATGTGAACAAAGCGCAATAATACAAACAGCTATAATGTAAAAACGACAACAAAAAAGTTGAGCTACAAATATATGGCAATCAAGCTTTTTGGGCTATGCTAAAAATACTTTTGTACAGTTCTTAATCTATTACATAAATAGGTATTTTCCGATGAACATGCAAAATACTTACTAGGTGCTTATATTATTGTTAGGATTCAATTGCATGTCCATTAAAAAACATAATTGACCTTGATTTTGACTATTTTTTTTACTGATATATGAAGTGCGTACCACAGGATTACTTTCATTTATCTCGAAACCTCGAAACTTGATACTTCCTCATTAAAACCAATTATACTTTTTCACTTCTCATGCTCTTAAAGTTCGTATTTATGCTGGGTGTAGGCTGCATAAAATAGGATTTTATGCTCTAGTGCATAAAATAAAAAAAAACATCACATTAATATGACTAATTGTTGTAATTTTCCATTCAATTTTAAATAATCGTTTATTTGTAATATTGCTGTTTAATTTCCTCGCAATCGAAGTGAAAAGCAGAGTGTATTATAACTCGTTTTAAAACCCATTTTACCCTCGACTTAAGTAGCCATATATATACTCGTCTCGGGTAAAATGACGCGTTTTATGCCCTTGTTGTACAATCTGCTATTGTTTCACGACGTAGGACAAAAGTGTTTTGTCTTAATAATAGCAAAGCTGTGTTAAAAGGTTTTGGACCAATGGAAAATACCCTGTGTAAATAGGTCAATGATGTTTAGATCAAGCTGAATAGAGGCATCTTTCGTTTAGGTATGTGTGACAAGTACAGGCCAAGCATAGGCCAAGTCAAGGTCAAGGAGACGTCCTGCTTTGATAATTAACATTCAAATTCAACTCTATTCCGCTTACAATCAAAACTCCATAGTGTCAGGCTCGATTTGCTCTTGACTGTACTAAAGACAGAAAGATATTGGAGAGTAAGTTAAGTTTTCCAAGACCTTAAGTCATCATTGGAGAACTGTGTCTTTTAAAAAAATACAAATTAACAGTAACTCTGTTAATTACTTGGTTGTGTTACCCTAGTTTAAACCAATGTCCATTGGTAGCACCTGCACAAAAAGCTTCAAAATTAAATGTTAGGGGGAAGCGGGGCAGATTCGTACACTTTTTTTTAAACTTTAATTTTGTACTACTAAATGTAGATGGATGTTTTTTAAAATTTATTTAAAAGAAATCTTCATGTATTCTTTCAAAGTCACATGCAATTCTAGTTTTTGGAAACACCAGTTTACCATATATTAAGACATAAAACCCTGTAAAGTGAACAAAACTGCAGTGGCACTCGTATGTGTGTCGCTTATTTTTTTAGTCAACGGCTGTGAAAACACTTTGTGACTTGTCGTACGACAACGGCTAACTGGTGAGCTGCGTTATCGCATGTCTATTACTCACACGTACAAAGGCACGTTTTAGTATTATCATCACAACTAATATTATGTTTAAATGCATGGAGATAATGCAGGTGTATGAATGTGCCCTCTGTATCAAACTGCCCCGCTTTCCCCTACGTATTTGCTATTATACTTACTTACTTTCCTCAAACTCTGTTTTTTGTTTCCTCGGTAGAAAATTGTCCATAGGACTTAAGGGTCGTATTTCAGAACTGTACTCAATGCTCAAGTCAGGATTTCAGCAGACTTGAGTATGATTTCAAGCACTGGAAATACGACCCTAATGGCAAGGACTTGAGTATGATTTCTAGTGCTTTGAATCATACTCAAGTCCTGACTTGAGCATTGAGTAGAGTTCTAGAATACGACCCTAAGGGTCGTATTCTAGAACTCTACTCAGGATTTGAGTATGATTCAAAGCACTCGAAATCTTACTCAAATCCCTGCTATTAAGGTCGTATTTCCAGTGCTTGTGTTTCCAGTGTAATCCTGACTTGAGCTTTGAGTAGAGTTCTAGAATACGACCCTAAGACTTAATAGTTTTTTTTTTTCAATAGATACATTTATGACTAAGGTTGAGACATTACAACAGGTGATAGAGCCTTGAAAAATTGTAAGTGTAAGAAAGACGCATCAATTCAGCTTACAAACATCAATACTAACTATAGATGACTAAGTTTCTACTAGCTACTTGCATTGTGTGCTACTTCTTGCCTAAGAAGGGGTCATAGTCGAATCTACTCACAAACTGCTTAGCACCGCTGTGGAAGGGGTTAGGCCCCGGCTCCGCCCATTTGCTGAAGTCTATTGACGGAATTATACCACTTCTGCATGGTACTCTGGGGTTGCTGTAAGGAAATTAACAACTTTAGTAAATACTCTTTCGTTCCAACATCAACGTTTAACACTTTATTTTTACGTGCTCTCGCGTTTTTACTTTATGGCAGCAACATTTGCCGTGGTAATGGAGTTTTACGGTGCAAGTTGTTTTGAGATACCCAGTTATGTGAGTTCTTTTCCTTACTTTGGATTGTTGTTTTTTGCGTGCGTATAAGTATCACGAAACCAATACTGTCGTAACTAAAAACTGTGGAAATGAGAAAACACGGTTTTAAAAATTAAAAAAATATTAATGAAAACAATATAAGTATATTCTCGTTTATTAATGGATAATTAAATATTATGTATAAATAAAAATAATTACATTATTCGCAATAAAACCCAATCAGTATTTTTTTAAATTTTCATATTGTGTTTTCTCTATTCCACAATTTTGGGTTACGACAATATTTGGTTTCATGTGTAGTATGTAAAAACATTTTTCATTTTGCTTTTAATCTCATTTTGTATGGTGCCAGTAAACACAGTTCCAAAGGCGCAAATCCGAGTTCCATCTTCAAATGTTTTAAGAGCTATTATTATTTTCCCTAATGGCTATCACTATAGTTTATATAAAAAATATGGCTATCGTCGCCAGTGTCAGCTAGAATCGGAGTCGTTTTATGAGTTTACAACAGGTATAAAATTCAAAGTCAAAATTCTTTACACATTAACGAAGTGTCATTGAATGAAACAGTTGCCCTCGTTCTTTTTTGTTAAAGTATTTTAGTTATAGGGCGTTCCATTTTGCGAGGTTTTCGTTGTAATGGTTAAGTCAACTTTGATGTGGGTGATTATCGTATCTCATTAATAGCGCTGCCAGCTGAGATAATATGTTAAGATACTGTGCAAATAATTAAACGAAGCACGACCTTTTTAGTCGAAACTTATAAGAAAGTTATAGCTTTCATCAATTAATCTCTTTTATGTTTAAGTATTGGTAACAAAGGCATAGTAAATATTCCACAAAACTAATATTACAAAACAAAAACCTTAAGAATCCTTAAAACTAGAATGCCTTCTATTACATCCGACACACACATCAATTGCCGAAGCGAGGGGAAACAAGTCGTGTCATCTCATGCACGTCTTTGTTTATCGATACTTACAGTTCGTGGTCAGGCAACACCATGGGGTAGAGCTGTACTGTGTCTATGATGTCTGTGTTGTCGCAAATTATTCTCGCAAGTCGCGCCTTTTTCACCTCCACAAGTTGTTCTGGTGTGAAAGATGATGGCTGGTTTGGCAGTTCATACCTGGGCAGATTAGAACTATGTTATATACGAGTATTTGATAGATACATAGATAAAAACTTTATTCACTTCCATGACAGCTTATTTACATAGGATCCACTAAAACGAACACCATAATTATTATTATATTGAACCACTTTTAAAAATAACAATTTTTTATAAGAAAAGGAACGTATAAGTACTAATTAAAGTAAATAGTTTAGGAAGCCACGGCAGTGAAAAAGCGCTGGTTCAGCATGAATGTCGCAGTTTCCTACGACGTTGGTATTCTCTGACAGTCATCTGGCGTTATCGTTTAATTTAATAAACATTTTAATTATATTTTTATTTTATGAGAACAACAATATGATACCAAAATGTGCGCGTGTGAGTGTATTAATGTGTGCATGAGTATGTGCGTATACGTGTGTTTATATCAATATTTTAAGTTACAAGATAGTTATAAGCAAATTTGAAAATGTATGTATTTATGTTGATACTATGTAAAATAACTTGCGTTTGTATGGATGTATTATTGTATATTACTTATGAACATACCTGACATTAAATATCGCCACATAGAGATCTCACAGTTACAGTAAACGTAAACGAGGACAAATATACCATTGATAATACCTACAGCCCCAATTTCGATTTATTAGATTTAGAGGATATACTTTATATAAGTGAATTTAAGGAACGATTGTTCATTATAGCCCGTACACGTAGTATCTTAGACTTTGGTGTGGTTACTTACCAAAATCTATCGCCACGCCTTGAATAAGAGAACTGTGTAGCAATAATGCAAGCAAAAGTAGGCCCCAGCATAGACCCCGGCAGAGGCCGCTCGGATACACCACCGGACCACAAGTCGACGTCAATGGGATGCTCAAAGATACTTTCGTATTTACGGATAGTGTCGTTCGACATTGAACCGAATAGATCTTGGAAGGTATTAGCACCGGAAAGTCCGCAGAACTTTCTGAACTCCATGTAACCTGTAAAAATATTTTAAATTATTGTAATATGGTAAAGATGAGAGAAGATTAAATTTTATTTTAAACATTAAAAACTATATTTGTGTTTTAGACTCGACAATTAGTCAATAAGTACATATATTTATCGACTGCTAGCTACCTAAGAGATTTTTCCTTAATTTGTCACCGCTTATAGCAATAACGTCCAGCTATAAGCACGTAAATACGAAAAATCTATTTACCCCCTGAAATTTGCGGTTAGGTTAATTAATTTAGGATTTATTATAAAGAATTAGGATTTCTGTAATCCTAATTCTTTAAATTCCTAAAAAAAAAACAATAATCCCAGATTATAATCCCAGAGGATAAAAATCCCTAATTTATCCTCTGGGATTATTTAGAAAAATAATTTCAATTGATTCTGCTATGCGCCTTCTGGATAAAGTTTATCAGAGTAAAGGTAATTTCTTTACTCTGCTACCCATAGTTTACGACAAATTATTATTCATTATATAATATGATTAAACATTTATATGTTCAATGTGTATTTCCAACCGCATTATATTTTTAAATGTTGAACATACCTGGCAGTCCGAACTCCCTTCCTCGTTGCATGTTGAAAGACACAAGGTCCATGCCAAACCGGGCACCAACCTTCTTAAAGAGATGGTTAGTTACTTCCTGAGTGATCGAGTCGTCCATAGCCTGTGCCACTTGGTTCATGAGACCCATCACGTATTCGTCTAGAACGCCAGCGCGATATAAGTCGTACGGTCTTCGGATCAGGTCTGACAATCGCTTCGATGCTGTGAAAGTCATAAAAACGTATAATTGAAACTGTCTTCACTAAATTTCGGTAGGTATACATAATTAAGCGCATTAGATGCTACACGAGGAGGTCTTGTTAACAATTACCAGCGTATCCAATTTAGAAAATAAAATGTTCTAAATGGGCTTTGGTTCTGCCGTTCAGGGTGGTGCGTTGTGATTAATGATATGGTTACCAGAAGAGCTTAATTAGTGGTAGATTGACTAAGTTGTTTTCGACTAAGCAAAATGCTATTTGGACTCCTGGTTGGTAGGTTTTAATGGAGTGTTTACGATCATATTTTCGTTTATAGCAATATTTTTTTACCAATATTTTTTTTATCGTATTTTTATAAATACGATGTCTAGTCAGATACCTCCAATCCAAGTAGGTATCCAATCAGATACCTACTTGGATTGGATACCTTAACCTCTACTTACATGAATATTCATAAGTAGAGGTTAAGGCAATTAGTATTCCTTATTGGTATCTCTCCTTCTTCTGCCTTTGATCAGTTCTTCATATGAACATTCAGACATTAGGCGTGTGTGAAGATCCTATTTTTCCCATTTTTCCCCATTTTTCGGGGTGTAACTTTTTCACGTAACTGGTATAGGCCCATTAGTTTGGCAGACATTATGACCGCTGTATCAATTCTAGTCATACAATGCTGGTTAGTATTTCTGACTTGTTTGGTGTCATATTGGTGTAATATCCGTGTCTAGATTGTATGATAATGGATGCAAGTTATAATTTGTCTTAAAGGTGATTTATCACCTGCATTTGCAAGCACAGAATTGTTGCTACATGGCGCAGGGAAATTTTATTAATATTTTTATTTAGATACGAATGTTATTTACCAATAAATTTGTGAGCCTTGGACCATCTTTCTACGGCAGTGGGTAGCAGAGAGTGTCCGAAACGATAGGCGGCTGCGGCGAAAGCGTCGATCACGTCGGGATTAACATTCGGGTCGTATCCGTCCCAGTATCCCTAAAATTGACAGTGAAGGTGTTAAATCTGATTTAATCACTTCAATTGAGTAAAAGTAAGTTGTTTAATTTTTCACATGTGGCAATTCATTGAGTCGAACGTCCACTATCTTCACTATAATTGAGATACCTTTTATCTTCATGAATTTTAGCTAAGTTATTAGTTGTGTTAAGAAGAACAGTGTCAATTAATAAAGTTACTCTAAAACGATGTTTTTCAAACTAGTTTATATCGATCCTGTGGACCCCTCCACAACCAAAAAAATGGGGGACTACGCAAAACAGAAAAAAATTACACGTGGTCTACGGGTCAAAAAGTATGGGAACCTCTGCTCTAAAGGAAGTGGAGTGTTAAACCTGGTCAAAGACAACTTTAAGTAGGACACACGACTACCTCTTTTTGGAGCACCAAACCGAATTTGTCCATCACGTCTTTTCCAAGCAGGATAGGCAGGAACTCATTGTACGTAATATGTTGAATCTCAGCAATATTAATGCGACGGGCTTCTTGGTACAGGGTCTCGTCGTCCCAGTGCAGGTTGACGGCTGCCAGACCGTTGGCTATGCGATTGTGTTCCCGAGCCATTAGAATGTGCATCACTGCCAGGACCAACTGCTCGTTCACTCGGATTTCACCTGGAATTTTAAATTAAAATTAAAAGCACATTTCTACGAACACGTAGAAACTTCTTCTTTTTACAGACGAAGTGTGATCCTCTTTTGGATATTTACTAATCAAACATTCGGTAGATAGATCGAGTAATTAATAACGAAAGTCATAATTTGTTTGTTACCAATTAAATATTGTAGTTTCAAAATGACATCAGTTTAAAATCACGTACATTTTATACAAAAAGACAAAATATTTTTTATACATTTTGAAAAAAACTTGATGTAAATAACGAATTACCTCTAAGTAATTAAATGTTATGTTTACACTTCGTTTTTATATGAACATCAAAGTATGAATTGCCTAAAGTCTGGGACACTTTTCTTAAGGACGGGATAACTTAGCTATAATCCATCGCAAATTTTTAGGTGTTTGTAGTGATATACGATGAATAAAATTATTTCTAGAAATTTGTAAATTACGTCATTTCCAAGATTGTTGTTTGTACTTATGTGTAAACAATCTTGTGCCTGTGCCTGTGGGTAAATATGTAGAGTAAGGGTTCTAACATTACTAGGTTTTAACATTTCTAGAGTTCATAGGACAAACCACAGAGGCAAACGCGTGTTTATATTTATCTTTTTTTAACCGACTTCAAAAAAAGGAGGAGGTTATTAATTCGACTGTATTTTTTTTGTGTATATGTTACGCGATTACTCCGGCTTTTGAGAATCGATTTTGATGATTCTTTTTTTTGTTAGAAAGAGGGTACCTTGGTATTGGTCCCATTTAAATTTGATAAACATATTCCACCTCTAAGGGTGGCAAACTAGGGGATGAATCTGGTTTCGCGCACTTTTCGGTTACCGAGTCCAACAAAACTTGGCAAATAGACGTAATTCCACGAACTTTGCAATTATTATGATACCAAGTAAAGGGACAATCAAATCATGTAAGCGACAAGCCTCAGAACTTTAAACCGCAAGGATCTGAGCCATTCTGCCTTTGCGCCCGTCATCCTGAGACCCAAGTTAAAAAGTCCCATGTGCCTGTAATTTCACCAGCACCTTTACCCTTTAAAACCGAAATGCAGTAATGCTCGATGGCAGAAATTTCTTCCCTTCCTTTTAGGAACTTTGACCCTGGACGAATTCTTTCACAAGGAGCTCTATTGCTACTAGATTACTTATCTATTTAATATAGAACGAAAACCTTTTTGATAACTCTCACTTGTCATTTTCCTTATCAAATTCCTAATTGTTTTGAACGTTTACTTTCTGAGCGCACGTAGGTAACAGCAGCAAGCAAAATACTAAATAACGAGCTTGCTCAGCTTTCTCTCAAGTTTTTGCACTCACCAGCTTCAAAGCAGTACATGTTCTTGTTGGGCCTCGTGCAACCTTCGTCGGGAATATCAAGCTTGAGTGGCAACAGGTCCTTCAGTCCGTACTCCTTGAACACGGGGTTCATTCGCAGAAGACCGCCGTAACCGGTACGTAGTTTTCTATGGATAGGTTTTGTGATGCAAAGAATAAATATTTTACATAATTATTTCACGTATTTTGTACCATTCGATTCGGCTGAACGATTAAAATGCTGGAGTGCCACGTAAAGGTCCCGGGTTCGATTGACAGGCCCGGTGAAACATTTGTATGGCCTACATTTATTTCTGTCGTGAGTTTGGGTGTAATTTGTGGTTGGCTGTGTGTGTTCATGATACCCGCGATGCAGGGTTTCCCTAGTGCGTAATTATTATTATTAATTAAAACACTAAACAAAATAACATCAGTTCGGGATCTTCTTAGTCTTTATGCAAGGTGCCTATTTGGTATGGAACTAACTACGTGATTCTGTTATAATATTAGGTACGTATAATATGTTGAAGCAACGTGACACCTTTAGTAGGTACGTCACTGGCTTGCGTATTAAAGGAAAAGTTAAGTAGGCATAAGATTCTTTATATTGTAATTCAATAACTAATTTGCTTCTATTTGATCCACGAACGAATACTATCTAAGATTGTTCCTGTTTCACTATATGTCGTTAAGTAGATGTCCTCCCAACTATTTTACTGCACGGACAACCTAATATGAGACTCGTCTAAGTCTAGGATATATAAATAATTACCTAAAAACCGGCGGACGACAAGGCAGAGGATATTAAATTTATCAATGTATATTTTATACTATTACAATTGTAATAAGGTATAAATTCCAATGCTCTGACATGCGGAGAGAAATGCGCCGATGCTCCGAGGTCGCTTTCAAGAGCATCGCAATTTATACTTTATTCTAATTGAAATAGTATAGAATGTAAAATTGATAAATTTTCCTTCCTTAAGGTACAGTAGTTATTATGAAGATTAACAAGAAGTAGGAATTATTGACATAGCTGTTTTACGTTTTCGATTTCGATAAATTGGCCATACATTTGAAGATAAGAAACTAAAAAGGAACTCACCTGGCAAACTTATCGGTGACACCATAAACAGTGTTCCCATCGAGAGCTCCTGTCAGCGTGTTGAACGGAACCCTGGACCCTATTACACACAATTTTACTCATTATTACAATCGTAAGGGGAAAATGTCACTGGTTTAAGTCCAGCCGGATCAAAGGGATTTTTTTTGGAGTTAACTGCCTCCGTGGTCGAACAGTTATAATGCTGGTTTGCCATGCTAGAGGTCTGGAGTTCGATTCCCGGGCCGGGAGAAATATTTGTTTGATCTACATTTATTTCTTTTGTGTGTTTGGATGTAATTTATGGTTGTCTGTCCATGACACCTGCGATAAAGGGTTCCCCTAGTGCGGGGCTATGAGTGTGTGCAAAAAAATGTTTGTCCGGTCTATGTATCATTTACAGCAGTTATAACAACAAACTAGTAGAGTACTTTTACAAGAAATATATAAATAAACATTGCAACAATAAAGCGACATCTTTTGTCAACCGTTGGTAGCTGTAAAGGTACCTGGCTGTGTGAAGAAAAAACTTTCATAGTTTTTTTGCATGTGGCGCTACGGCAAAAAAACGGTTAAAAATAAAGATCTGCAGCAAGCACATTGAACAACGTACCCCTCATGGAAGAATGGCATAAGTGGAGTTACGTCAAAAACATTTATTTACAATAACAACAATAACATTTATCCTCTCCAATTCGAGTAACTCTATCTACAATATTAGTTGATAGAGTTACAAGAATATTGGAGAGTATGTGGGTTATATTTTTTTGCAACTAATGGAGCAAAGAACATGTTTGACGTAACAACACTTATGCCATTCTTCCATAACGGGTGCGAATTGTGAGGTCTGCTGCATCAACACCATCAGAGCCTAAGTCGAAAATGTGTCTGGTTCAAGTCAAGCCGGATGCAAGGAATTCTTCTTCGAGTTTGTTCCATTTTGTGTATCAATTATTGATAACAACAGACTAGAGGAGTACTTTCACAAAATAAATAAATAAATAAATGGATCATTATTACAAATGAACTGAGTCATCACTTAACATATTACTGTGATCTATGATCTGTAGATTAATATTCAACATTCTTGGGACTTGCCAAGTGTGTCATGTGAATTTAAATTGCGTTGGCCTGCACGCAATTATGTTCAAATTTTAAATGCAGAATTAACCACCCAGAAGCAAGCTTGCATAAACATTAACTTAGGCTACAAGTTGGGTTTTGTCCCATGCTTATATTACGGACTTTTAGAACTAATTTAACACATGTCTGTGTTTGTCTTATTTGGTAAACTAACAATCAATATGTTCAGTTTTATATAAATATTTTATTCAGTAAATATATGAAAATGGCCTAATGCTGATACTTCACTTCTTCCAAAGACAATAAATACACACACTTCAAAAGTGTTTAGGGATCAAGGCATTTTTTAAAATATTTGATAACCCTATTAAAGTTAAATAAAAATATCAATAAAAAATATTTATTGAATATGAAATTCATAAGAAAAACTATCGCTGTTAAAAAAAATAAAAACTTGATTTTCAGTAATTGGCAAATACGTTGTTGATCCCTAGACACTTTTGATAATATTTTATATCGAAAGTCAGGGTTTCATGTGCTACTTGACAGTATTATCTCAATATTTATTTATTGAATATCATGATGTTTTTAGGTACTATTCTAATATTAATATTTTTTTGTGAATACAATATTCACATACAAAATGTCACAAGCACATGGAAAAAATCGTAAGCTGACTCGTTCTGTAGCGCAGTTGGTAAGAGCGGTGGCGCCCCGGTGTAGCAAAAGCCGCTGGTTCGTGTCCAGGCAGGCTGAAGGAATTTTCTTTCCATTGCTCGACCTTTGTCTCAATTTTACCGCAATTTTACCCAAATTTACCGCAATAGGTCTTTTTATTTCAATATCAATTACTTACAAATTTATCGCTACAGCAATTCACGAATGAAAAATTGCAAGTTTATCGCGATAGTATCGTAAAGCTAGCTACTGGAGTTTGGAAATTATTTCTTAATAAGTTGTTAGCTTTAAGTCATCTTGTAGTTTTTAAGTGTAACATATTGCCTTTTTCTCAATTAATTTGTTATGGTTGACTAGATTAATGCTGAGTTATTCGTAATCCTTTACTTGGGTGGGTCTATGTTTATTGTGAAATCATTAGTTACATTACACATATATTATACAGTTCTAGTATAGACGACCTCCGTGGTCGAGTGGCTTGCACACCGGTTTTCATGGTGCCGCCATCTCTGAGGTCCCTTAAGGAACTAAAAAAACTAACTTTTTTATATTGTCTCGGGTTTGGGCGTTTGTGGTAACGTCGTTGTTTTCGATTTCTATAACATAAGTGCTTTAGTCACTTTGGGATCAGAGCAACGTATGTGATGATAAAATAAACGAGTTAACTGTCTATCTATCGTGAAATCAAAGCCGATCGTGATTTTACGAGCCTCATTAACCCGTATTTGAATGTACTGTAGTTACAATATGCTAATGAAGAACCCGAAATAACATGATTACCATAATATAGCGAAGACTTTGAAGGCAAATCTCTAAAGTGAGAGTTGTAGTCTCTGGTTATTTACGAGTGATTGTTTTATTTTTATTCAGACCAACATCATGATATGTCTGGAAATTTACTTAATGTCGTTTTTTTGTAGCCTGCAGCAAATCGTTAGTGTAATATATATGTATATAAGTTAAGTTAGACAAGCCCAATATGTTTTCTTTGGAGAATAAATGACTTAATCTCTCTAAAGCAACATACGAAAGTGGAGTCAAAGTTGCTACGTATTAACATCAATGATAGTGACTTACACTTGATTCACTGCTCACTTATTTTTTAATAAAAAAACAATTTCATTATGATACTAAACGACGAGATAAACCAGTCGTGCGCCTGGTGGTAAGCGACACGCCTATCCATAGCGGTTGCATAGGATCGATCGGGAAAGCAGACCGATTGCACCGAAGGGCTGAAAGGCAACACCACCGCGCTCGTCACCTTGAGACATAAGTTGCCAAGATCCATGTGCCTGTAATTTCACCGCACCCTTGCCCTTTAAAATAGGAACGCAGTAACGCTCACATAATCTAATGCTTGGCGGCAGAAATAGATGTGGTGGCAAGTACTTCACTGGACGAGCTCTCTGAGTTCTATTGCTACTAAAGATTTGTGTACAAAGTCTGAATAAATTTTATTTAAGAATAAAAATGATATTATAATTGAGTGTGTGTGTTATTGGTATACTAATGAGCAGGACTTCTTACAATTTTGTCAAAGAACACAAACAAGATGATTATGTTTTTAAGGAAATCATCACACTTATCGACACGAAATACAAAAAAAAACGTTCCGCGTTTCGCTTCCGCTCGGATCGATAATTCAAAACGAATGTCGTGTTTTTCATTCCTATTACATGGACATAAAGTTAAGCCGATTCCGCGTTGTATGATCCCTTCCTAAGGTTACAAATGATCGCTCACAAAATTGATTATCGTCAATCATAATTCATTACGCTGATTATTTCGGATTTATTTTTTTGGTGTACTGGACTGGCATGCCCGTGATCTTGCGAATGCCCTCGACCGTCTCGCGGTTGCGTAAGGAGAGCCGTAACGTTCCACCACTTTCCCTCTCATCGAGGCTGATGAGATAATGCCCGGTCACACGGTACTTTTATCTGTTTTTAATTTTGTTGGGTAATACATTGTAGCTTAGTAATATCTGTGGTAATGGTACGTTTCGGGTCGGGGGTTAACGATATTGAAAATATACTTTCGCCCAAATAATATTATTGAAGGTTTTGATATGCTATTCATAAATGTCGGAAACTTTTGCACTATCATCTGTCTCATAGTATTACTCAAGTACATGTAAAGTGTTGTAACGTAAAATTTGTTTTCTATTACCCAATTAGTTTTGCTTCATAACTCTTGAGTTTTAGACACCACCGGTTGTTTTGCACGTTATATGCAACATCGTCGTCTTACTTTTTCAAACTCGTATCTTAAAGCACGAAGTACCTAACTGAAATGCAAAAAATGCATCGTATATACAAATTTTGCATGCTGATTTCACATCACATTTCTTTCATATTCACACACTGGCTTTTACATGTTTAATTATATTATTATTAAATTAATTAAAGTAATGCATCCAAATTAACACCCTTGATAAGAAATTTAAAATAAATAGAAAGTCTTGCCATCTCCTGATTCATGATCACTCTTTATAAGATACGTGTTTTAGAAAGTAAGGCATCGATATTTAAAAAAATTCCTTAAGTTTATTTAATCGGTAAGTACGGATCTTTAAAAACTCACACTGTACATATCAATGCGGGTGTGGATTTCACAAGAAAACATACACATTACGTTACACATCTGATGCTATGACAAAAATGCTAAAAGCAATAATCGTACTGTATGTTTTATTTATTCCACATTCTGACAACAATGTCTCGAGTAACAACCCGATCTCCAGAATGTGTAGATTACAATAATATCTGTTCAGAACACGATCTGTGAAATTGTACTCATGACAGTTTTAAAAGATTCCTACATAGAATGTAGGCCACCCACCAGATTTTATGTGAGTATTTGTTTCTGTTAAGTATATTTAATTAATTTTTTTTAGTTATTAATGTCTACTGTTTGTATGAAGTGTTTTGTATAGCTTTAATTTAATTGAAGATTTATTAAATTGTTACGAATCTACGTAATAATTTAATAGATCTCCAATTAAATTAAAGAAATTCTTTTCTTTGTTGATATAATTATTCTGATCTGTAATTCTGTGGCTGTATCGTTACTAATAATAAAAAAATGTAGAGTTTCTATATCTATACTTTCAGTTTTAATATTATAACTGTAAATTCGATACGTATCAACGTATTTGGTACTGCAACCACAAATTGACCGACTATTGCATAGTTTAACCGCGTTTTCTTTGCGTATTTATTTACCGATCAACTTCAGATTAGTTCGTACCGAAGTTTTGATCCGGTTGCATAACGGCACAGTTTACTGTCATCGCTGACCTATAAAATTCTTGTAATTGAAATAGATTTCTCTAAAAATTAAGAATTTGCTAAAATTTCCCGGACTGTAACTAATATACTTTACTAATAATCATATTGGGTACTTGTTACTTTTTAAGCTCTCATTGGAAAGATCTGGGGTTGTAACATAGTTTGGCTCTAATTAAAGGTTTCTTAATCTTTTTCTAGTTATGGACCCCTCTCATATTTTCAAAGAGCCCACGGACCTTTTCCGAAAAGGCGATGAAGAAGAAAAGCTCGAAAATTCAAAAAGACCACGCGCACAGTACCTGTTTTTCTATTTTTTTTAAATTATTTTACAACGTGCGATCGGTCCATGGACCATGAGCATAGTACTTATTTACTCACAACATATTGTATACAAGTTTTTATATAAATGCACAATGTTACGTAGACACAATGGTAGGTAGTTCATAACACTGATCCCTTAGGGGTCCATGGACCATAGGTTAAGACCTGCTTTAATTAGGTAGATAGTTAGGCCTTCAATGGAAATATATGGGATAGTAGTAACAACTTATGAAAATAAGGGATTGTCGCATTGCTGTTGATAAAACTTACCCAGACGGCAGCCGGGTCTCGGCGAGGGGAACCCTCTCACAAAGTCGATGCATTTAACTCCAAAAAGACGGTAGAAGTAGTCATCGTCGGGTATTCTTATCTCGTTGCAATACGGGTGTTTCAGATGCGGAGGACGTTTACAGCATTCTTCAGGGTCATTGCGGTTAATTGGATCTGGTAAAATGAAATCATATTTTCTAATAACAATTTACTATTTGAAGGGAAATATCGTTTAAACCTGTACACGCATCAAAGAATTTTTACTTTAATACAGCTATTTATTACTATACGTTTGAATTTCTCTCATTTCACAAGTCGAAAATAACATTGTTCTTAAATAAATAAATAAAACCAGCTCAATAGCTAATTCAATCTATGAGATATTACGATTTTGGTATATCTATCGATATTAATGTTTATACTTTCCTAGTAAGATTTATAATATCAAGTGACGGGACGAACCAGTCATGTGCCCGATGGTAAGCTGCACGCCTGTCCATAACAATTGCAGTGCCTCTTAGAGCTTTAAATCGCAAAGATCTGAGAGGTACTGCCACTGCACCCGTCACCTTAAGACACAAGTTGACAAGTCCTATGTGCCTGTAATTTCGCCAGCACCCTTACCCTTCAAAACCGGTACACAGTAATCTTAATATATGCTCCGGAATCTTATTGTAAAAACGTATACAGTTCCTAAGAAAAATATGTCGTTTACCTTAGTTAAACGAAATCGTAGTTCCGTGAGTTTGGCTACAGTAATGCTAACATTACTGCTTGGCGACAGAAATAAGGTGGCAGTACTTTCCTGGACGAACGCTTTCACAACGAGCTCTATTGCTGCTAAGTATGGAATATAAAATATAAATATAGACTGTAATTATATTCACTATAGTAAATACTATAGTGAAATACTAGCTATAATAATTCTTGATTAACAATCCGTCTTCAGTCATTGACGATGTCCTACTTCCATTCATAGGAATAGACATTTATACTAGGTTTGCCGCCTTCACTTCAACACTCGTCTTCTGGCTAATTTCTACTTCAGTTTTGCAGTGATGGAGATCACATCTGTTAACTTAGCGTAGTTACTAATGTATATGATTCACCCAGCAGGTCATCTCTTAATTTTTAAACTTACCAAGAGGAGTTCCGGTAAGAGTGTAATCGTGGTCCATAAACTGTCCCCAGGCGATGACCATGACAGTACCAGCGTGGTCGTGAAAGCCTTCATCGGGATGCATGGTTCGGGAGACCACACGGGACAAGGGAAGGTCTCGGCCGGTGTGCGCGATTCGAGGGGCGTTGATGCCATCGGCGAATAAGGGGCCGATCAATCTAAGATACAAGGTCTATAAATCTAGGCAAGAAGCATTGATATGCACAAACAAATAAATAAATGTGCCATATAATCACACCAGGCATCTTAACATCAAACAAATCAAAGTATGTATATAAGCAAATATTATTATTATGTAGGTAGGTTTTCACGATTGTTACACATAGGAAATGAAACCATTTTTTCGGATTTAAGTCGCGTATATTTGATATTTGAATCAAAGCAACGTTTCGCACCCTTTACAGGTCCCATGGTCACGGTTGACTACGTGAGTCAGAAATATACTCTATTTAGATTCTAAAATGGTTTCTTTTACTAAATATATTAAATAATTTCGTTATTATAAACTATGTATGTACACATTATTAGTATTCAACGTGTAGTGTATTTATTGGAAACATTAGAAGATATTCTTTGGTTGCACCCCAATTCTTAAATTTGTATCCTAAGATTGCCTAGAAGAAATTGCTACATAGTAATTAGTCATCTGTTGTAATGTACAACAGACGGTCTTCTTCTTAGTAGCACTTCTTCTGTGATACGTATCTTACTGTTCTGTGTTGCCATATTTTTTTTTATGTGCAATAACAAATAATTCATTCATTCCTTCTTTTAATCAAACTAACGAATTGACTATGAGACGAACTTTAACATCAGTACTTACACTTGAACATTTCGACAACAATTTATGTAGAAAAGTTCCTTTATTAATTTAGCAACCAATTAGTTTAGTCGATATTAAATTAGAATTAAAATCCGAAAACATAATCCAAGACTTATATTAATGTCGAGTGCTTCACAGCTGACGCGCCGAGGTCGTCGTTCTAAATATCGACCTTTGCTATACCCGGTTTAAATCCGGCTTTACGTCAGATCGTCAATAATAGTTCTACAGTTAGTCTTATAGCTTGTATTAGTCTACTGTTACACAAAAGTCTCGCCATTAATGAGCTATGGTAGACCATATTAAACTAAACAACCGGACAACTCACGTAAGTGAGTCGAATTTTTACTCATGTTTCAAACCAGTGCTTGGTCCTTCATTACGAGTTTTTATGATTAGGGACCACATGAAACTCATGATTAATAGTCTATACAAAGTCAACTGAAAAAAAAAGAAAAACAAAAACCAATTTGCTTTTCGTAAAAATCGATTATCTACACACGCTGTCGTAAAATATATGCAACAGGTATTTAACTACATCCAGGATAAATCGTACGCGATAGGTATACTTCTTGATATGACAGGGTTTCACATAATAACCTATTATCTAAACTATACAACATAGACATACGCGGAAAGGTACATAGTTGGCTAAAATCTTATTTGAGAAACAGGAAACACGTTGAAAGTGAACATTATAATATTCAAATCCGAGAAATACAACAAATGCAGTCAAACATAAGAAGTACAAATTGGTCAGTTCCACAGGGCAACGTGATATGATGTTTTCTGTTTATTATTTATGTAAACGAACTATCCGTCACGCTTTCATTACCGTGTATATTGTTTGCGGACGATGTGTCCTTATTGTTCCGTTTTGAAAATGATAGGGAAAGTAGGAATAATATGATGGCTGGCTTCAGTCAAGTTAATAACTGGTTATCGGCTCATAATTTGGAAGTAAATTTTAAAAAGACAAAAATGATTCAATTTCGTCCTCATCAAAACATCAGACAGCCATTGACCTGAAATCTGAGTATCTAAATATTGAGGAAACCAATAAATTCCCTTTACTAGGATTCACGGTAGATACACACCTAACTTGAAAGAACCAATTCGAAAATGTAAAAGCTTAACTCTCACAGTTTACGTATGCACTATCCGTCTTAGAAATGAACACTCATTTCAAATCTTAATTAACACCATAATTATTATGGTTATGCATATGCATGAATCAGATATGGCATATTGTTATGGGGAGATAGTAAGGACGCGCATGATATTTTCGTGTTACAAAAAAAGTGTCTTCCAATTCTGGCAAATATACTATATACTTTATAAGATAAAAAAAATTATTGTTTCCCTCCATTTACATTTGTGAATCAGCGCTATTCGCGTAATGTAAAACATCGACGAATTTAAACATTGCACCAGCGCTAGGCGCAACAAACAACTACAAACTCCGCCCATAAAAATGCAAATATTTAAAAACAGCCCACACTATAAAGCCATACAAATCTATAATAAAATACCTGACACAATAAAAGAGGAAATAAGGGATAAATCTTTTTGCCGCCTACTGAAAAATTTACTGTTATTGAAATGCTAATACTGAGTAGTAGGTACGTAGGTGAGTTCTTGAATGACGATTGTGAATAAATCACATAATATAATGTGACATATCGTAATACAAACCTAGATGTATTTGGAATTTCAAATTAAATATAAATAATATTATGTATAACAATGAATAAATAAATATGTATATATGTATAAATAGTAATAAAAATTCATGTTAATCAATTATGTTAAAAAATCTAAAAAGTATCTTAATTTTAATTCTAATCTTAATTTTAAGTGTAATTTGCTACACCCTTATGGGGTATCCCATGAATGTAACTACTAAAATACTTCTAAGGCTATAAATCTGTAATACTCGACCATGTGAAATGTAAAATATATAAATAAATGGTTTCCGTTTATTCTCCATAAGTCACGCATTAGTGAAAGTGTTGAATGAATCACTTTGGAAAAAATATATACTAAAATTAAGAATATACACTGACAGTGTGAAAACACGATTCGTAAAAATTTTCACGAGAGAATAAAATACAAATTTACCTTGAAATTTTACAATTGGTACTTTACATGTACCATATTTTTTCATCAACTGAACTAAATTCTTCATTTATTCATCCAATCGTTTGTAAAAAAAAATTCTGAAACGAAAACAGTGTCCCCGCCGCTCGACTCAAGCAAAATGAACCGTTTTCGTACAAGAAAAAATTAAATTCGAGCTGAGCATCAACTCTTAAGGACTGGTTCGAAAGATGTCGAGAAAAATTCGACTCAGTTACGTGACTTATCCGGTTGTTTAGTTAATATGTCTGAGTCTCTACGTAGTTTTCTATTTAAAATATGATTCTATTTGAAATATGCCGCCCAGTTGATGAACGCATAAGGGCGTGTTCATCCCAGTATGTCGTGACGACAGATACTCGTGCAGTTTAAAGTGTCGTGGCTTGTATATTTAAATGAAGTTGTTCACATATAGCACTACACGATTGACTGTCATTCACGACTTTTTTAACGTTACTACGACAGACTGACGTGACAACGGGAAGAGCTAGAACGACGTCGTCAGACGATAAATAAAACATCACGATAAAAATGTGACGACAGATAATCGCAGCTACAAACGATTCTGTCGTGCAAACTACAAGGCGGCTGCCGTGAACCGTGTTAAATTGTCGTCACGATCTAGTGAGAACAGTTAGACACGACAGTCGTTCAACGATAAAATAAACGTTCACGAGACAGTTACGACAGATAATCGTGATATGGGAACAGGCTAGACGCAACAGTCGTCCAACGATAAATAAAACGTTATCTACGACATAATCGGAACACGCCCTGAGGGTGCCTTCAAATTAAACGTTTCTAGAAGCGCTGCAGTGGCGTGACTGTGGCGCGGCAGCCGCGCTTCTACCAATTTTCATGCACTCATTGATAGTAACAATTTTTATTAAACAACAGTTAATTGATTTTTTCTTTTAAGATTATTTACTTTACTTAAGACTACTCTGAAAGGTTGAAGGCTTAGTGAGCTGTAATACAGGTTTAGTTGCCTACTGTCTCCAGTCTCTCACATGGGATGCAACATTTAATATTGTTAGTCTATTGTAAGAGTATTTTCCTTGTGTTGAGATAATAAACCATTACTTTATATTTATTTATACAATATCTAGCCTGCAAAACGCGCGATTGTGGTGCTGCATTTAATATTGTATAAAAATTAATAGCGCCACTGCAGTGCTTCTATAAGCGTCTAATATGAAGGCACCCTAAACTTGCGATGTAACGTTCAAGGAAACAAAGCAGCTTCTTGGTTTGGTTTTATTTTTATCGTTTACATTGAAAAAGGGTGTCGAGGTACCTTTAGATTTATGGAATTGTATTGGCGTAGTTGTAAGTGGCAAAAACAATTTCCAAAAATTTCGCTAAATACCTAGCAAAGGTCAAAAATCCGACTTGTCAGCTCAACATTGTCCATTAACTAATTTTTGTAAACAACATTCAATTTGCAAAAGTTACGCAATTGGATTCGCTACTAAAATTACGTACACCTATCAAGAAATACATTTACGCCACAATGCGGATAACTCGTGACCCTGGATGTGTGTAAATGGTTTAAAATACCAATGTCAATGCCACTGAGCGAAGGAAGTGCGGAAATAAATTAAAAAAAGGTTGTCGAAAACAGCAAGGTCGAAAAATTATCTCAGATTCCTCAATGATGGGTAGGCTGTAATTTAATTTATTACACAAATATATTTTTTTAAATGATTAAAAAATAATAACCATACTTCTTACGACTAATGTCTTTGTAATTTTCCAGAGCTCTATCCATTTCCTTTACATAGTCTAGAATATACTAACAAAAACAAAAACCACTTACCTCTGGAAAGGAGCATTAGTAGCGCCCCAAGTCGGTTTTTGCAAATTATTGCATAGACCATCCAAACGTCTGTACTTGCCGGCACGACACTCGACGTGGGAAAACACCGGTGGACAAACTTCACGAATCAGAGTCCTAGATGTGTCAATGAGTGGTAGGCCCTTTTCGATTTCTTCGTAGGTTAGACCGTATCTGTGGAAAATATGCTACGGTTCATTAACAGCCCCACAGAACTGCCTCCGTGACCGAACGGCTATAATGCCGGACTAAAACGCAGAGGTCCCAGGTTCGATTGAGCTGGGAGAAATATTTGTATGGCCTACATTTATTTCTCTCGTGAGTTTGGGTGTAATTTGTGGTTGTCTATGTGTGTGTTGAGTGTGTGTGTTTATAAAAGAAACGGAATAAATAAGGTAAGGAACGCAGCATCGACGAGATTATCGATTTTAAAATAATAAATTTATAGCTACAACACGTCCCCCCACATTTGTATTGCAAGTTTAAGACGCGGAATATCTTTTACTCATTGTACGAGTAATGTGCAAATCTCTAAACGGTCTATTTAAAACTGTTCGAACTTTTTGCGAGAATGATAATTACATAGTTAGTTTTTTGCATCAGACACCATGAAGGTGTGCTCGCATGATACACTTTAATACTTTACATAGGTATGAAACTTAAAACGCTATAGATTTTGGCGATAATATAAACGTACGCACGCCTCTTTCGGATTACATCACAACGTTCGATCAGTGCTCCTACATCTAACTACCTCCTAGCCCTTTTTCAAGTCTGGACCAGTGACTGCTGCAGACCAGACCAAACCACAAATAGAGGTCCCAGAAGAACAGGGATTTCCTGATTTTTTATAATATCATAATACCAAATGATGGGACAAAGAAGTCGTGCACCTGGTGGTAAGCGACAAGCTTGTCTATAATAGTTGCAGGCTCACTCAAAGCTTAAATTGCAAAGATTTTAGGGGCACTACCGCTGCGCCCGTCACCTTGACACATAAATTAACTTTAAAAATTATGTCTCATGTGTCTGTAATTTCACCAGCGTTCATGCCTTTAAAAACCGGAACGCGGTAATGCTCACATTACCGCTTGGCGGCAGAAATAGGTAAGGTACTTGCCTGGACGAACTCTCTCTAAGAGCTCTACTGCTACTAAAACTTATTGAGTATTGTGAGGGCACATAGAAGCGGCGACTACCCGCGCGATATGGTTTGCACCCCTGGCATTGCCATCGGCTGTCCTATGCCTAGATACGCCTATGTTTATTTAACAGTACTATCTAAAATAAAATTCAATAAAATCCACATTGACCACTGATTTCCACTTCATTCAATTTATTGTACCATATAAATGATTTATTGCTTGTAAACATGTATTATTAACATTTCCTTATTTAAAATGATTATACAGTCGAGTTCATAAAACAAATTAAAATTTGGGCTGCGATCGAATAAGGAAAAATGACCTTGCTTTGTGATTTTCATATGTTATTTTTCAAATAAATTCATTATTATATAGCAATAGATTTTATTATAGCATATATGTAATTATACATATATTATAATATATTAAACAAACAAAAAAAGAAAGTCTGTATGACTGCTTATCACGATAACGTCAAAACTTTTATAAACAATAGTTTTGAAATTCGTTTTTGCGACTGATGATTAAACATAATATAATAAATCTTGCATTAATATAAATTACATTCTATAAGGTACCTAATTGATGTATATAGGCCGAGGTTTTCTATGGCAATAAACGTCGCAGAACGTACGTAAAAAACATCTAATTAGAACATCTACAAATTAAGATGTAAATATCATAACATAAATGTGATCACAAATAATACACATAACGTTTAATTAAACAAAATATGATTCCGGTGTATTGCACAACTTTTAACACTTGTTTTTTTAAAACCATCCAACCAGCCCAAAAAGGAATCTGTGAATACATCTCGCGTCAAGTTGAACTTTTATTGCAACGTTACATGTTTCTGGGCGTTAAAACGACATTTTTGTGATAATTTAACAAAAGAAACTGTTTTAAATGTTATACAGATTTACCATTATGTAATGGAATTCTACAAGCTTTACCGTCTTACAAGAGATGCTTCCTTGTTACATCACTTAATGATCGGACGTGATTTGCTAAATATTGACCTTTATATCTCCATGTTACTTTCGATTATACTTTGAGATGACCTGATTTGTAGGACATAAAAATTATTGGTCGGGCATTTAATTTGCATATTATTGATAGCATTTTATATGGTAAATATGATGAATAGGTAGAATGTGGCTTTATGAAAGTGGATATTGATTTCACCTTATTAAAAGTATTCGTAGATATGTTAATTGTACACGTTGGACAGGCTTGCGCTCTTTTCATTTATGGTTTTGTCTAGGGTATTAGAAAGTAGTGCAAATTTTTTCAATATAGAATGGTATGTATGGTGTACGGTGACTTGGCGATGGCACTGCCGTGTTTCCAAATACTTTTACAGTTATTCAAAGTAATAAATTACCTACATTAGAAACTTATTATCAATATATCAGCAAACCAAGTATGCCAAATTTGAAAACATTAGTCACAACAACATGCCAAATGAACTTGACCCAAATGCGTCGATCATGGACAGAGGTGTACACCAATAGACATTCAAATGAAAATATAAATAATATTTTTGTATTTATTGACCTTACTGATGATACGGTACGATAAACGCATATGAGCATAAGTATTAAGTCATGTGATAGTTTACCTAGTGAGCGTTTTGATATTCGACCTCGGATTTGGCAATGGGTTTCGCAATGGGGTAGGTAACGTAACGTGTTGTGCGCTTCAATACTTTCTACTTCCTTTTTTAGCTTCAAGTGTTAGATAACAAGTAGCATTAGTTTGTTGAGCGTTGATTAATATTTAGTAAATACGATATGGCTGTTACTTTTAGAGCAATGTAGTGCGCCATGCCAGACGTCAAACAGTCCGACATAATTAAAGTGTATGACATCGCTCAGAAGACCTTAACGATGTGCCTAAGTGAGACTTAGGGTCGTATTCCAGAACTCTACTCAATACTCAAGTCAGGACTTGAGTATTGCAGTGAGCACTGAAAATCATACTCATATCCTTGCCATTAGGGTCGTATTTCCAGTGCTTGAAATCATACTCAAGTCTGCTCAAATCCTGACTTGAGCATTGAGTAGAGTTCTGGACTACGACCCTTAGAGCCCAGGAGCAGCGTGTTTGTTACGCGCGGATGCGATGCGAACTTACTGCGCCGCAATAGAGGTCCAAAAAGCAGTTTGTTGCGTTTGTATTGGTTGAAACACGCATACAAAGCTATGCAGCTAAGTCTACCGCAGTCATCTATATAACCGTATAGCGTGTATGCACACGGCATATTCTATACCCGCAGATGGCGCGCGTTTCGCGAACACTCGTTACATTTTAGTAGAAGTAGACCTCCTTGTGAAAGAGTTAGTCCAGGTATATTTATAAGAGTTAGTCCACCTTACCTATTTCTCGTTCCGGTTTCGAAGGATAAGGGTGCTGGTGAAATTACAGGCACATGGGACTTTTCAATTTATGTCTCAAGGTGTCGAGCGCAGTGGCAGAGTCCCTCAGGTCTTTGCGATAAAAAGCTTTGAGTGGCACAACAACTGTTAGGGACAGGCGTGGCGCTTATCGCCATGCACACGACTTGTTGGTCCCGTCACTTAGTATTATAAAAAAACACGCGTTTGCGACACGTCTGATTTTGTGAACGTGTGCAATGGTTTACTGGCTACGATTGCGACTTACTGGATGAGATAAATCTATTTTGAATCGCGTCAACTCAATTCATTTGCATGTCGTCTGTGCGTAAAAAATATGCTGTATGCATAAGCTCTTAGTCGAAGCACAGTACCTGACGTGGTGCGGCTGGTGAGGTAAGTCCTTGACAGACTGGTGGATAATGTCAGAAAAAGGCGAGCGGTTCGGCCCTCTAAACTACTACATAAGTGGGTTAACGACATATTACGGATCTCGATTAGACATTTTGTTTTATCGTTTAAATTCGATTTGAATTTGATTAAGAATTAAATTAAATTAAAAATTAAACCTTTTATTGTAATTTTTCAGTATTCCAGAGTCGTGTGGACTTTAGATTCCTAATAATTATCATTAGCTTCAACGGTGAAGGACAGCATCTCATCGATATTTTACGTATTTAAATATTTAGAATACGGATATAAAATGTTCATATTCCGAAGTAATCATTTACAATAAGCAAAATTATATACCTACCCTAATCCCCTTGGAATCGAGCGATCAACCAAAAAATCTTTCCACGCGTAACTTATATCGTGAAATATACTTACAAAACTTGGCCACCATGACTACCGTATTCTCGTTCAAAAGCTGCTTTAATTGCTTACCAAGCACCAGTCAATGCAATCTAGACAATCATTCTTTACGGGTCTCAATTGAACATCACTCAATGTTGGAATGCATAATGACTTCCTTTACGTCAAATGAATCAGTACAAGGAAATCGTGGTCCACTGGCGCCATTTATCCAGTAAAATCAGTCAAATTGTGTGTCTAGATACGTTCAGAATCATTAGATAGGCAAGAGTTTTATCTTCCGGATGAGTCATGCTCTGAATCAACAAGTTGACTGCTGTCGCGTTGCAAATGTAGGACGCAGATTTAACGTGACTGTCGCTGCGACTTGCGCAAATAATTAGACCCATACTTCGTACGCATAAAAAAATAAATGAAGGTTGCGTTAGTGTCGCGTGGCGAACGTGTCTCATATTTTAGACGAAATCAGTTTTTAGCTATCTTTCAATGGTCACATCAACGGTGTAACTGCCGCGACCATTATGTCACCGATTTGCAAACGCACTTAGAGTCCGAGATGACATTTGCAAGACCCTCTCACTGCAAAGGTCGCTTGTATGTGGGCGACAAAAGCCTTTAAGGTCAAGGTCCAGTCCTGTATGATGTAAATGAACCTATCGTGTATTTATTAAGCAAGCTATTTTAATCGATGCAAAGGGACGGATGGATCAATTCAAACATAACAATTAGTGCTGTATAATCGACTGTAGAAATGAAAAGAATCATGCTTCATAAAGTTTGTTTCCTAATTTTGCTATTGGCGCCGCAAGCGGAAAAACATTGCAATATTATCCCTTTTGTTCCACGTCGTCGTGACATTCGAGGGTCATTGAATAATGAAGACAAGACAGCGGATCTGAAAAGCCTTGTTCAGTAATCAATCTTGGTTAAAGGATAAAGAGAGCACACTAAAAAACAAGGTCGTTTGCTATTGTGTAAATAAACGTTGGATAAAAGTTCACTTGGATTCTTTAATATTTTTATATGAAATCGGCTGTGAGATCTGTTTCACGATTTTATTTGTACTAATTGTAACTTGTCATTATAAATTGACAAGTCCCATGGGTCTGTAATTTCCTTTAAAACCAAAACGCAGCAACGTTCACATTACTGCTTAGCGGCAGAAATAAGGTGGCAGTACTTCCTTGGACTCTTTCACAAGTTCTACTGCTACTGAAGTGTTCTTATCAACCAACAATTATAAATTGATTATATGAATCTAAGGAATAAGTAAATCTGTTTCTAATGCTAGTATTCAAATACACTTTTTTTCTTAAAATCGTATGCAAGTAGGTTCATTTCATACTGTACGTGTGCAATTTGCGGTTAATCAGTTATGTAAATCTGTGCTCATATAAACGGTAATACGTGGATGGCTACAACATAATTTTCTTCGCATAATATGTGAAAATATTTCATTTTTGTAATTCGTTGCGGTGTTGAATCTTGCAGATTGTCTGTAGAAATAATTGTGAGCTTTACTTCATACAGTTTTCTAGAATTGTGACGAGACGATAAAGTCGTGCGCTCGATGGTAAGCTACACGCCTGTCCATAACAGTTGCAGTGTTACTTAGAGCTTTAAATCGCAAAGATCTGAGGGGCACTGCCACTGCGCCCGTCAACCGGAGACATAAGTTGACAAGTCTCATGTGCCTGTAATTTCACCAGCATCCTTAACCCTTCAAAACCGGAACACAGTAATGCTCATATTACTGCTTGGCGGCAGAAATAGATAAGGTGGCAGTACTTCCCAGGACGAACTCTCTTTCATAAGCAGCTCTTCGTCCGTGTACTAACTTGCCCATTGTTTCGTGTAAGTTAAATGTAAAAGGCACAGTTCAAATGTTTTATTTACAAAAACAAAAAATGGGGTATAAATACTGCCCTCGTAACGAAAAAGCCTTTTTTCGTACTATGCGTATTTTATATAGCAGTTGTGCCCTTTTTCGTTCTGAGGGCAGAATAGTGGATTTCAGTGCCGAACAACTGTATGTATATAGATATCCTCATATGAATTGATAAATTACACTATGTAACAAATTTTCAAAAAAGTTCTGTTTCTAGTCGACCATAGAAAAGTCTTAACGTGTACTTAGAAAATATATCAGTAGATCGTAACTCTAATTTTGTTTGTTATACGGAAAAGCTGAAACTGTCTAGTTTTCCATTTCTTTTTAAAAAAAAAATACTGCAGGTATGTAGAAAAGAATAGCTATAGGTACCCCTGAAGCTTACCTTTTGTGGCTGTCACAGTGGTTACATAGCTGCCTGTTTACATAGCTACATAGTGGTATTTACCTCATCTCGCAAATATACACATTTCTAGGTTCTAAAACCAACTACAAAATGGTATTGATAACTCAGAATAAAAAAATCGGGTTACATGGTGTTATTATCACCACTTACACGCAACGAGACATCCAAATCCAAATTCAAAGCACTATACCGGCAACACCTACTCTCAATTCGAAAATTTGTGCTGTGTGTTTATATTCTTTTCCTTAGTCTATCTAGAATGAAATTTTGTTTTTACATTCATCTATTCATATTATATGTATACATTATAATATACTAAACATTAAAACCTATTTACAATCACAATTTACTCCTACAGCTGTAATTATAAGTATTCACACTCGCTGATGCACTTACATATCAAAGAGGTTATTTTAGATGCACTATTTACACTTTACTACGTATATTATTATCTCAATGTATAACTTTACGTATAGTCATTAAATTTTTGCTTTCAAATAACCTAATCCCTCTTGTTGGTTCTGATTGAAAACCAGCGCCGTAGAAAATTTTGGCATATCGTCGGGGATAGTGAAATTACGCGTGTAAAGTATTGGTAAAACGCGCGTATCTGCACTAAACTAATATTTACTGTTATTACTTTGTTATTTCAATAGCTACTTATTATAATTTTTGCACAGTAAGCATCAATTTATGTTGTCTATGGACTTATAACAACAGATTTCCGTAAATCACGCCAATTTATTGCCCACGGCATTTACGCGGATTTCATTTGGCCACTAAATGACCGAAATGGAAACTCGTAATCCAATGCTAGTGACGCGTAATAATTGCACTATCCCAGAAGATATGCTAAGTCAGCGTCCTGTCACTGGTATGACAATCATATTATGTTTTTTCTTGTATGCTTAATCTGTATTTGTGTTATATCAGTGAATAAAGTGTTTATCTATCTCTCTATCTATTTTTTATTCCTTTTTTTGATAATGCATTTTTTACTTACATTCTAGCCAAATTTATGGAGATATCGAGGATGAGTTCGCCCACACTGGCGAAATCTTCCGGCTTCCATTCACCTTTTGGCTGCGACACAACTGTTGATATAATAATAGTTGAAAACATTAATTGCGAAGTGTACTCATTCATTGTGAAGAATTTATTTCGGGTAGGTCAGACTAACGAAAGTAACCGATGCAAGTTACCGACTTATTGTATAATTTTTTGGGATTGCTTTATAATTGCGATATTATCTGTACGAAATTGTTGTTACTTAGATGTAACAGTACATTTGTAAAAGTAGTAGGTACTGCTGGAGAGTTACAGCAATACTAAAAATGTTGAGAAAATTGTGCAACTGTGACAGGTAGGCTAGGAATAGTTAGGAATTAAAAAAAAAGATCTTTAAAGTTTATGGAATTACATCTATTTGCCAAGTTTTATTGAAAGTGTATGAAATCCAATAAACTGAATGTCATAACATACATAAGTTTAGTGCAAGCGGACATTAGAGGTGGATATTTGAATGGAGGTACCCCCTTTCCAACAAAAAAAATCATCGTAGTCGGTACACAAATGTCAGAGTAATCTCATAATATACTATATATACAAAAAATACAGTCGCATTGAGAACCTTCTTTTTTGGAGTCGGTTAAAAATCATAAGTGTTACTTTTTAAAATTTGTTTCATTATGCATAAAACGCTAATTGCGGCTTGCAATCTCTACAAAACGTTGGAACCTTCTTTAAAATTGTCATAAGCGATTAGAGTACATTTTACGAACCAATTCTCTGCCTTGCCTCGATGTACGCTTGGTTGATCGCGTCGTAAGTTATACAAGTGTGTTGACCATCGTAGCCGCTGAAACAAAGAGTTAATAATATATTGCAATGTGCAGTGGATGTTACGTAATTTATAATAAGATATATAAGACATAAGATATAAGGCTGAAAGTATACAAGTTACATACTAATTAACGAAAAGAAATAGAATGTTCACAAGTAGTATTTTTCAGGAAGAAAGTTGAACTTACAATATATAATCTCAATACAGAGTACTAAAAAACCGACCTGAAAAGTTCGTGGAATTATATCTATTTGCCAAGTTTTATTAAAATCGGTTACCGGAAAGTGCGCGAAACCGGATTCATCCCCTAGTTTGCACCCTTACTGGTGGAACATTGTCTCCAAACTTAAATGGGAGAACTACCGAGGTACCCTCTGTCCAACAAAAAAAGAACCATTAGAATCGGTTCACAAATGACGGAGTTATCGCTGAACATAGGGTAAAACCGGGCTAGATGCCCCACTTTTTGAAAGGGCCTAATAATTTAAAAAATATTAGTTTACCATGAATAGTTCCTATAGATATAACTAGTTTAATCTTTTACATTACATTAAGACTTGATTTTATTGATCTAACATTTACTGATTTTGAAGAAATTGACTCTTTGCAAACCTATTTTTTTTGAGGATAGATGCCCTTTAGAATAAAATAGTGAAATTCGTAATAAAATGTTTTTTTGGTAGGTTGTCTTTTTCACTAAAATAATGTATTTTGCCTTTGCCCCTAAGGGCAAACCTATACCGCGAAAAATCGAGGCGACTATCCTATTCGATATGGATAGATGCCCTTTTATTATATAACTAAGCTATACACAAAAGAGTCATTATTGACACCTATAATAAAAAACAACAAAGTTATGCGACAGTAAATACTTGCGTCTGAAAATTTGAACCATTTGTCGTGTTTGTCGAGGAGATAAACGCATGCACAAGCCAAACGCGTCCATTCCATACGAAGTCCTGCAAGAAATTTGATGAATGGTATCTATACTCCTTATTTAAACTAATTATTCTTTGTTGCGATTTGAGGAAGTTAGGTTTTTTGAAAACGAGGACCTATCCCACTGCGGCATCTGTCCCGGTTTTACTCTACATATAGAAAAAAACCGTGAGAATTTCCTATTATTTAAAATCGGTTAAAAGTAAATATTTCAAAAGAAAAAAGCCGGAACGGAAATAATTTTAAATAAGATTGTTATTTGACTCGAACTATTATGTGAACTATTAAACTTATACGCGACTTGCATGGATGACCATTATTCCCTCAAACAGCAAATATACACAAGCTCACAAACTCGTACATGACTTGTACAAGAGTAATAGCAATAAAGTTTGCCCGTGTAGACAAGTTCAAAATTCTTCCTATTTGCTTCACTTTATAATTATTCTCAGCGCAACTGAACGTGGCGTCTCGTTACTGATCTCATATTTGTAAAGAGCAATTATGTAAACAACAAATTATACACACTTTGTAATAAGATCATAATCGAATAGCAGGCAATAATATTCGTTAGATTATGTCTACTAGAACGGATCGAAATGTTCCGGTTAAGTAGTGGAACAACTTAATATAGAAATTGGGCTATAAAATATATTTATCAAATGCATACGTACTCGTAGGTATATCTAGCAGATCATATTATATTACGAACAGAAATTGATTCTATTGAGTTCTTAGATTTTCGCGACTGTTACATGTATTGGAAATGAAACTATTTTTCAGTATTTAAAATGCGTATACGTGTTTTTTCAAACAAACGAACGTTTCGGGCCCTTTACAGGTCCCGTGATCACGGTTGTCAACCAAATAGTTTCATTTCCTATTGATTCCTTTTGATTACAATTAATGTTCAATGTTGGCTACAGTCAAAGCTAAAGGTAGTTAGTTCTTCAAAGTTCTTACGTGAAAAAGTTACACTACAAAATAAACTATCTAAGTTTTATTGAATGTTAGGATGTTTCACCGTCATGATATTCAATTATTTTTTGTGAAATTTCTCAAATAAAGAGCCCGAAACGTTGGTTTGTTTGCTTGTTTGAAAAAAAAAAACAAAAATAGACACGTGATTCAAATCCAAAAAAATTTTTCATTTTCAAAATTGTTTGTCCCAATTCTGTAATTTATTAGTCATTTACGGCAGTTAGTAATTACAGCTTGATTGGAGTTTGCATATACGATATTAAAAACATGTACCGTAAACGAACAACAGCATCAAAATAAAATATTAATGAGAATTTTTACAACTTCTCAAAATGAAACCCGTTCGAGGGTGAGTCATCGGAAGGTTTACAGCAATTCTTTTATAGTGCTGCTATATAGCTTATAAGCTTATCATAGCAAAATTTTCTCACAAAACATTGAGAGTGTATATTGCTCTCGTCCGATTATTTCGTGTTAAAATTATACCACAAATAATAGTTTAGTCGTATTAGCGCGATAAATAATTCATGAATATTAAATGCGTAATAAATAAACCATTGTTTTAATATATGTATTGTTATAATTTATGAAATCGATTTCATTGTTTATAATAACGCTTTCACCACCTACGCAGAAGATTCGTTATCAGTCTTGTAAATTGAACAACATAATTTTCTCGATGATTAATTCATTTCCCATCAGTTTAGTATTTAGTACCAGTTAGTATTTAGTAGCAGTAGAGCTCCTTGTAAAAGAGTTCGTCCAGGGAAGTAGCCAAACAGTAATGTGAGCATTACTGCGTTCCAGTTTTGGAGGGTTAGCGTGCTGGTGAAATTACTGGCACAAGGGAGTTGTCAACTTATGTCTCAAGGTGACGGGGGCAGTGGCAGTGCCTCTCAGATCTTTGCGATTTAAAGCTCTGAGTGGCACTGCAACTATCAGGCGCACGACTTGTTCGTCCCGTCACTTGATATTATGTAATCTCAGTACAGACACAGTCGACCTAAAAAGTTCGTGGAATTTACATCTGTTTGCCCAGTTTTGTTGAAATCGGTTACCAGAAATTGCGCGAAACCGGGCAGCGCCTATTTTCCCGCCCTTAGAGGTGGAATATTTTCTTCAAATGTAAATGGGACCACATCTGAAGTACCCGCTTTTCAACAAAAAAGAATTATTAAAATCGGTTTACAAAAGTCGGAGTTATCGTGTAACATACATACAAAAAAAAGATTCAATCGAATTGAGAACCTCCTCCTTTTTTGAAGTCCGTTGAAAATAATTATAAATCTCTCACATTTACTATCACGATACAAACATGGTAGAGGCACAGACATATCATTTACATTATTATTAATAAAACAAAATAAAGATTCTTAGGTGTTGAGAAATGGCGAAACAATGGAATCATTTTGTTCTGTAATTCCGTTCTGTTCCCACGTGCAGAATCAGACCATTCACGTTGTTCGGATGAGATGTGTGTAATTCCAGTGATTAGCTACTTACCTAACTCATAGTACGAACTTACTACGGACCACACGTGTATTAGGAAATACCGACCTTCGTTTTATCTACATCTAGACGTTTAAGGTATTAAGCGGGTTTACCATTTAGTTTACTAAGGTCCTTAAAATGTTCAAAAGTCTGTTGCACATGTTTTGAGGTAAATTGCCTTTGCTACATCTCGCATTGTATTATTTTACATGTATCTCGATAAGTATTTTGAAATAGGCGACTTTAAGTAGTAAAAGTCTTTTTAACCGACTTAAAAAAAGGATGAGGTTCACCATTCAACTGTATTTTTTTTGAGTATGTTTCGTGATTACGCCGACATTCGTGAACCGATTTCGATAGTTCTTGTTGTTGTCGGAAAGAGAGTACCTCAGTGGTTCAAATTTCAAAAAACTATTCCACCTCTGAGGGTAGCAAATTAGGGGATGAATCAATTACGTTTTATCTTTCTTATTTCTAAACCCACAAACTTTTGAGGTCGGTATTTAAAAAAAATGTAAAAGCTTCTTTTCCATTTTGTTACAACTTTGCATTAAGAAAGAATTTTCTTAATGCAAAAGGCTGCGTAGGTATTAAGTCTAATAGCTATTTTATAATTATAGTGCCTTTTGAATTCTTTATTTCAGGCACAAACCTTATATATCTTAATGTAACAAATTTACGACTGTGTATTTGTTTGAAATACGAGTCCTATGCAAAAAATGTAAAACAACTGTGAGTAAGAAGCCCACGGCACAATATTAGACTGCGGGGCGTGACCACTGGAATGACTATAGAAAGTAACATTCGCAATTAATGACGTGGTTGGGTTGTGTTCATTTTTCATATTCTGCAAATTGAACTTCTCTATTAGACTCGAGGTAATGGGTCTCGATAAAAACCCGTTTAAATCGTTTAAAATGTTATCTTAATTGGGGGTTTTAAAGTGCAACTATACTTTATTAGTCGATCTTACATTTGATTCGTCTTAATATCTGTTAAATGTGAGAATACAGATACCTAATTTCCAAATTAGATTTACGATGATGAATGCTATGTTTTTTTATTGTAATAGTTTAGTTTATATAAATTTAGTTTTAAACACCGCAATATATATCGATAATCCGAGTCAGCTAACGGTTCCTAAACCCATAAAAAACTAGTCGCCACGACCTCAGATGGAAGCGATGTTGACATTGTTAGTTTGTATTTGTCAAACAATATGGACGCACAATATGCAGGTTAATGTTACCAAGGTAATGTTACTGTTGTAGAAGCATTGACACACAACTAACTGCTACTGTTTTCTGTATTTTCTAACTGTAATTTTAAGTTGGTAACAGAGGTCACGCCGTTAAAGTCACAACCGCGCATTACGCTTAGATGTATTAACTGTTATCTGAGTTTTGTTTGAATCACATAAAAACAAAAACTATTGTTTCTCGTAGGGTGTCAATAACTAGTAGGCTGCTAAAAATTTTATGATTTTACTACGGTTTCTGGGACAAGAAAAGTAGAGCTCCTTGTGAAAGAGTTCGTCCAGGGTAGTACTGCCATCTTACCTATTTCTGCCGCCAAGCACTAATGTCAGCATTACTGTGTTCCGGTTTTGAAGGGTAAGGATGCTGGTGAAATTACAGGCACAAGAGACTTGTCAACTTATGTCTCAGGGTGACGGGCGCAGTGGCATTGACCTCAGATCTTTGCGATATAAACCTGTGAGTGACACGGCAACTGTTATGAACGGACGTGTACCTCACCATCAGGCGCACAACTTGTTCGTCCCTTCACTTGATATTATAAAAAAAAATTAAGTTCAATACAGAACAGTAAAGTTCCACTTTCGAAAGAAGTCTTCTTTTTTGTTTATTGGCAGTGCCTTTTTAAGGATTTCGCCACTTAAAATTATGGCTATCTTATGTCAAGTTTTTGTGTTTCCAAAAGAAGTAATTTAATATCATGTTGATGTTTATATCCGTTTTTTAGTTTAGTTTAGAAAATATCTCTGTTTTTACTTGACCAATGATTTTATTGCTCTATTATTGCTCTTAGACGAATTTATGCGTTTGAAGCGAAAGGTTTTTTGAAAGTGAATGTTTGATTGCCTAATACATAAAAGAATCTTAATTCTCCAGCCTTAGAGTTACAAAAGATCAGTGGGTCAATTCAACTAGTTTCACACCCTAATGTGAATTTGTTATGTGGTTACGCTACAACAATGGAAAACCAGATTAAGATTACTGGACTTTTGTTACCATAAAGGGAATAGTTGAGTAACTTTATGTTAGGAGTGAAAATAAAACTTTTTGTATGGAATGTAACGTGTAACATTTTATGCTGTATTTTTTAAACACACAGAAGAGTAAAGACCTTATATCTTATAGCAACATATTTTCTAGTAAGACGAGTTGCTTGACTGTATAATTCATAATTCCAAAAACAAAACACATTCAAAACAAAACAAAAGTTCTGGTGCGTTTATTTAACATTTATAGATACATTACACGCGTTAAAAAAGCGAAAGGGATTGCTTGTTTATAAAAAAAGCCATCAGTTCACTTAACATTTGGAATTATTTTAATAGTGATATAACAGTATCGCATTTCTGACTACAGGTTAACCTTTAAGCAATCTGACACGTATGGTCTAATAGATATACAGGTGCCAATCGTATCAATCCTAATAACATTAGCAAATAGAAAGATGCGGAGACTGACTCGATAGAGACAGTACAAACCATGCGGCGGAAGTATGTCAAGTTTAACGCCTCTAGTGATACAACGAGAAAGACTCTTGATCCCGCACTCCCGCGCATTAAACTTGTTGACATTGATAATCGTTGCTTTAGCACGACCCTGTACCATTATAAATATTGAAATTGTGTCGTCGATAGATTTATCATCTCCTTGCGTTACATATATCGATTATTTCACAATAAATCATGTGTTTCATTTAGGCGCGTAAAAGGTATGAGATATGAGCGTGCAAATTGCTATTTGCTTGAAGCAGGTTTAGATTGGTCAAGCGGTTTCACTTAAAGAGATCGATAGTGTACCCGGTGCTATAAAATGTCATGAATTATTAACTAACTAGTTAATAGCACAGCTATATTAAAGTGTGTGGTTGTCCTTAAAAACGTATTGAATGTTCAATTACTTTATATCATCGTTTCGTGTAATGAATAAAAGAAGTTGCTAAAAGATAGTTTGTTAGCTGACCGCTTAACTCTCCTATGACCTATATTGTTGTTATTGTCATCGTGACATTCTATTGGAAATGCCTATGTTTATTAGTACTATGGTGTTGACCAAAAGCATACTTGAATTGTTCCTCTACCATACTTATGTATGCCAATGATGTTGCAAATAGGCAGAGGGTGTGAAATTTACTCACTCTCATGAGTTTTGCAATTTTCTCTCACACTATTCTTGGGAGGAGCTCACAAAACTGGATCATTGTAAGTATTTTGAACCGGACATATAAAAATTAAGTTTATTAGTCAGCCAATATCGCTGTTTATACAGAAATATTTGCTAACTAATGAATTTAAATTTTATTCAGTAATTTGAGAAAACATCTATTCAACAATTCTTTAATCAATGAGGTTGAGGAGGTAGGGAGCCGTCAACCCTGTTCGGAATTCATCGGCATCTTTGAAAAATCTTCGGTCGCCTTCAAAGGTAGGAATATCAACACCATTTATGAATATAATACCACTGACTTGTCTTTCGTCCTGCGCGATTAGTCTCATTTAATTACTGAGACGTAATTATATAATTAGCCACTGATTTTACTATCTACACTCAAATAGACACGTATGAGTAACGAAGTTTCCTTTGCAAAAGAAAGGTAGGTAAGGTAGGTAACAGCCATTACTTTGAATTGGAATCGAAGAATAAACTTTCGGTGACGACCAACCTTAAGCGCAGCGGTATGTGATTTCTTTAGTACGTACACACACTTTAGTAGCACATCTTCCAGTTGACGACCATGATGAATATAGTGTAGTCGTAATATATACTTACAAATTGCCTTTAAGTAGATTGAGGCTGTAGTCGTAAGCCGAAGAGCGGCCGGGACCGGTCAAGTAGAGCGCACAGTCATCATCGCCTGCCGCCGCCGCCAGCGCCGTACCGCCCGCTGCGTAAGCGCATGACAGCGCTAACACCAGCGCTCTGCAATACGTGAATTGCAATACGTTACAAGGAGTTTCTTAGAAAATTACGTTTTATGGCTTCTTTTTATCGTATCTATGGCATGCACACTATAAAGCTTGACACCGTGATGAAAATAATAATAATAATAAATAACGCACACGCACATTGCCACGCACTAGGGAAGTCCTGTGTCGCGAGTGCCATGGACACACACATAGACAACTACAAATTACACACAAACACACGAGAGAAATAAATGCAGACCATACAAATATTTTATACGGCCCGAGAATCGAATCCGGGACCTATGCGTGGTAACCGCTCGGCCAGGCAGGCAGCCATTTACCAATCGGCGTAAGGTACTCGGGAATTGTTGCCCAGAATGCGTGAGACAGTGCGGGGAGGTTCGTTTCGTGCACCGCATAGACAATTAAGAAACTTAAAAAGTCTTGATGCTATAAATGTAAATATGTACATAAGCCACGAACTCCGGAAAGGCCACAGTGGTGTATGTTGTACATTAAAAATAGATACCGTAAAAGGCTACTTAGCGAACATTGATTTGTGATGAAAAGCTCTTGCTTTCTAAACCGTTGCAGAACTTAATGGCAACTTTCAACAATACAATGTTAATAAATCACCAGAAAATTTCATGAGACGACCATATTCTTGAAACTAAACTTTCCTATACAACCCATATTCGATATAAATGCCAATAGTTTGGTAAATTAATAAATGTTTTTTCCAAACCGGACAAGGTTTTTATAAAATTGAGAGACAGAGTCATCACCAGTCATCGGATTGAGGGAGACAATTTACCTAATGTGCGAGAGGCGGCTGATAAATAATCTACCTGTGTACTTCCTATGTACATCAATCTACAACCACATCTATGTAATGTACTAGCGTTATGTATGAAATAAAAGACGATCATAGTTTCTTTTTTTTTAATATGAAATTTCATGGGAAATGTAAATAGGAATGCACTTATTACTTATGTTTACTTAGTAAGGGTCTTTTAAAAAAAGTTGTTGCTTATTTTTAAACATTTTTTTAGCCGTTTAGAAACGTAATAATTAAAAATGTCACTAATTTTGAAAAAATAATAGACAAGGAATGCGTCACGATAATGATCAGTATTATTTTTTAATTGGAAATAGTCATAAGAGATTACTTTTCAGCCGTTCCTCGCATGAATGTTTTCTTAATATGGACATACCAATTTCGTCATCAGTGCGTATAAAATTTCTTTTTTACTGTTTATTTTCTAAACGCTCCAAAATGTAAAGTGTCTCACGTTTATTTTTTAAATGGCAAGTACCTATAGAAACACACGTACAATACTATTTTTTGAGACAATAATTCGTAGCAAATACTTAATAGGAAATAATAATTTGTCGCGAATGTATTAAAATTTCAATTGTAATACGCACATTGAAATATAATCAGTTCCGAGAATTCCCGGGATTTGGAGAAGAGAATGTCCACATTTCTCTTTAGTTTTGCTATGAAATATTTTGTTAACATTTTAGTCACTCAGTGCAAATAGTTCGTCACATAATACGATGCTGTGTACTCAATCGTGTAATGTGATAATTTTACGATTATTGCAATACTCCAGTTCGCAAGGCTACAATATGCATAGTCAAATGCAATTGATCTATTAAGTCTTCATGAATATCGCCACAATTACTACTTTATACTAAGGCAATTATGGATTTCATGGTGTAATCCATTTTGGGTTGATGGAACCTTTGTGATCGGTAAGATTTAGGTAATGTGAGGTTTTAACTAATGGTGGGGTTCTTTGTCTGTGCTGAACCTGCAGCATTGACCGCAAAGAGAAGCGACAGTTAGTACAATCGCGGACCCAAAAGATATGACGCGTGACGCATTTGCGTAATCAAGAGTACTGCATTTTCAAAATAATATATTTAGACGACTGTTGGATTTTAAATTGTATATTATTGAGTTCTTAGGTTTTCGCGATTGTTACACATAGGAAATGAAACTATTTTTCCGGATTTAAATCGCGTATATTTGTTTTTTAATTTTTTTATTTTTTTATTTGTATATTATTCATTTTAGATTTAGATCGCTTTAGTAGTCGCTTCACAGAAACTATATCGCTTTTTCTTGAAGACATTTCACTTCCTATTTTATTTATCTATAATGAATAAAATAATAAAAATACCTATTACAGTATCAACTAACGGTAAATCAGCTTTTAGTGAAAAAAAGATAGCTGTAACCAGTTCGTACCACATAATTACCATAAAAATATTAACCTTCTGTTTTTGTGTTTCGTCGCAATTTGCGAATGATTTCTTATTCAATAAAATGGATCAAATTCGCATTTAATTTACTAATGTTTAATTTTTTTCAATTTTTTTCTCAGATCTTGACGGTTTAGTGCTCTGAGTGGGATTGTAAATGTTGTGGGTAGGGGTGTCGCTTACCAACAGGCGCACGACTTATTCGAGCCGTCCTTTGATATTATAAAAAAATATTCATTTATGTTTAAAAAGTATTATAATTGATGAATAATACGAAAATAAAAAACCAAGCAAATATGTATCTAGTTTCCTCTCAAAAATTATCATTTCGCATAACGGCAAGATGTTGTTTCGTCATCATCCAAACCGAAGCGATATGAATGCCTTTTACATCCTTATTAGAATAGCAATATATATTTTTCTGGTCGACTTAAACCGATTCCGTGTCTACTATTTTGGTGGAATCTTTATAAATGAACATTTAATGTCATTCTCATAATGACAAGCATGACCACAACTTATATAATAGTAACAGTAGAGCACCTTGTGAAAGAGTTCGTCCAGGGAAGTACTGCCACCTTACCTACTCGTATTTCTGCCGCCAAGCAGTAATGTGAACATTACCGTGTTCCGGTTCTGAAGGGTAAGCGAAGCTTGTCAAATTACAGGCACATGGGATTTGTCAGCTATGTCTCAGAGTGGCAGGCGCAGTGGCGGTGCCCCTCAGATCTTTGTGATTTGAACATCTGAGTTATACCGAAATTTTTATTGACAGGCGTGTCGCTTACCACCAGACACACGACTTGTTCGTCCAGTCACTTAGTATTATAAAAAAAAAATAGAAAACGAAAGCATTTTTTAGGACTCATGTAGCTGGAGACACAAGAAGACTTTCAGTTTTCTCGTGATTCAGTTTTAATTACTTAACGAATATACAGATTACTGCGTGCATGAGACCGCATCGTTAGTGTTTAAGTTAACAAAGTCACATTCCCCGCTTTTACATAATTGTGAAAATAATTATTTATTTTTTAATCGACTTCAAAAACGAGAAGGGTTCTCAATTTTACTGTTCTGCACGACAGCACCAACTTTACTATTTGTATTACATTGTCTTTGTTTCTTTTTCTTATTGTCTATTAAATATTAAAGTACGATATTCAACCGTTTTTTCTCCATAAAATATGATATACAGTCCTTAGTAAGAATAACTGTATTTTTTTGGTGTTGGAGATTACTCCAACATTTGAAACGATTTCCATGATTCTTTTTTGTTGGAAAGGGGGTACCTCAGTAGTTCTATTCAAAATATTCCACCTCTAAGGGTGGCAAAAGGATGAATTCCATTGATTGGATTTCATCCACATTCCGTTAACAGATTTCAATAAAACTTGGTTCTGCATTCAGCACATAGCATTGATATATAAAGCTTTATATTAAATGTGTACTAATAATATCACAAAGTTTTAGAACAGAAAAGTACACAGTTTTGCAAGACTTTAAAAAAAATCCTACTAAAGCAGCGGCAGTAATTAATATTTGCGATATTGCGAACATTCTTTATAGAATATGAAAGGACTTTGGCTAGTATATAAATCTTTTTAGAATTTAGGCGCGTGCTCACTGCAATGCGTTGATTAATGATTTTTTTAATATTATCAAGTGACGGTACGAACAAGTCGTGCGCCTCCTAGTAAGCTACAAGCCTGTCCGTAACAGTTGCAGTGCCACTCAGAGCTTTAAATCGCAAAGATCTAAGGGGCACTCTCACTGCGCCAGTCGCCCTGAGACATTACGTTGGCAAGTCCCATATGCCTGTAAGTTCACCGGTATCCTTCAAAACCGGAACGCAGTCAAAGCCAAAATCAAAGTCAAATAATTGTTTATTCCGTAGGTAAAATTTTTACACTTGAAAACGTCATTTTTTTAAGCTACTGATCGTTTACTGTGCCGACTTCGAGCAAGAAACTCTTTGCAAGTATTGCTCTTTTCAAATAAATTTAAATGCTACAGAATACATTTTGAATCATATTTGAGTGGAATTTAGACTCATATTGTCTTTCCATACATCTTTATTTAACACGTAGTCTACAATTTTGTAATATGACTTTTCAATTAAAATACTTTTAATGTAAGTTTAAAACTTAGGCAATCGTAATCTTAATATATGCTCCGGAATCTTATTGTAAAAACGTATACAGTTCCTAATAAAAATATGTCGTTTACCTTAGTTACACGAAATCGTAGTTCCGTGAGTTTCGCTACAGTAATGCTAACATTACCGCTTGGCGGCAGAAATAAATACGGTGGCAGTACTTCCTTGGATGAACTCTTTCACAAGGAGCTCTACTGCTACTACGTGCCAAAAGTACATAGAACTTTTATTAAAATAGTAAGGATATATAATTTAAACATTGACATACATTAAAGTCTTAAATATTAGTACCTCGGCCACGTAAAATAAATGAACTTTCCCAATTAACTTCAAATAAAAACATTTCAAGTAACCACGCTGCAGTTTCGTCAATTTGTTTGGAAGTTGCAATTTTTATATCTATACGAACAGTTATTTGTAAATATTATTATTATTTGTAAATATATATTCGTGTAAAATTAGTATGAGTATTATTCTGTGTAATATAATATATGATATATATCTTTTACCTTTATATAATATGTATACATTAAAGCAATAGAACTGTGAAAGGCGCTGGATGTAATTTATCCCTGTCAAGCCGCCAG